ACTTTAATGGTTATACGTTAAGTTAGTTTTTTATTCGTCCAACATCATAAAACTGCCGTGGTCATTTTTGAATAAAAACGAATGTATTTTGAGTTTATTTTAGTCACCTCCGGAATAAAATTCTATGAATGCTGCTTTTGTTTGTTTTTGCGGACACAATTCATAGACAAATCTTGATTCATTGTAATCCGCTTACTATATAGATTAATTTCTGTTTTAAATATTGATAAGTTCTTTTGTATTTAATATTAGTTTGTTTTTTTTATATTTACTTAAATTTTGATGTAAACTTTTGCTCAAACTATCTGAATTTATGAAAAAAAATTTCTTTGATTCTCATTAAGTCATTATTAATATACTGATTTTGAAAGAACTTCAAATTAGTACGAGATATTACGTAGGATATTATCTTTACATGATAAATTTCATGTTAATTGTATACGAAGTTACCATACCTAAACATAGTTACAACAATAAGTGGTGACGTCACATCTGTAATTAATTCCATAATATTAGGTCAAGCACCGACGCCGTAACTTCCTGGCGACCAATGATACGTTGCTAAATATAATTAGTATCAGTAACACATTACTCTATTAATACACCATGCCCCTCGTACTAAATAACGTGGAAAAAACGAAATATTAACAACAAATTATTACTTGGTACGTAGGACTAATGGCATAGTATATGCGCAATTGGTTCACTACTAATAACTGAATGACATACATATATTACATCCTTATTACTTCTAGAGACGCAGTAGGTCAAGTTCAATGTTCACAATATATCAACTTTCTACTTTGATATGTTAAATGTTATGACATTTTGTGTGGAGTCGACTCGATATTTTCTATTTATTTTGACAAGATGGAAGGTTTTTTTTTGGGAAATGTACATTAAAAAATCACGGTATTTTACATCACTCTAGTATGAATATTAAGGTTATAAATGTTTTGTGCTTTTCTTCTGTCTAAAGTATTCTAAGGCCGATATAACAATAGTTTAGTCACTGAACGTAAACCGTTGCTCGTACAATTGATACGTTAATACATCACCCAAATACTAACTCGGCATTGAGAGCGTTCTAAAAAAAATGTGTCAGAAACAACACGTTGACATTGACACAGTTCACCGGACTTCCTGCAGCATCCATTTACAGATAGCTTTTTAATAATTAAGATAAAACTTATATATACTAAATAAGTAATCGCAATACGTAGAGAAGTATTAGGCGAAGTATTTTATATAATAATAAAAATTAAACGGTCACCAGCGCCGAATCATTGAATATTTCATGGTGGTATTTTCCACAATGAATGTTGGGTTGTACCGTGCGAGTCGAGATAAAGCTGGGTTTAGTGCGCGGTCCGACGGGATTTCTATCGACCGCTATAAATACAAGAGATCGTCACGCCCACGGAAATTAGATCCTCCCTATATATGTGTATAACCATTGCTTATTACATATAATTTATATCGCGAAATATGCTCATATAAAAATAAATATCGTCAGCCAAATACTGAGTAACAACCATACATTTATTCTGATGCGTCCATATATGTATTTACAATGTAAGTTTTTCGTATACGTCCAATGAATTACGTAACTCTTCATAAAATTTGCATAGTAGTTTCTTATTATTTTATTGATGCCATAAATGCTACGCTACTTAAATATGGCATAATGTAAGTAAACATTTTAACATTGATATAAGCAAATTTTTATATTTTAAGCACATTTTTACTTAAACGGTTGCCTGGCTTGGAAAAATTTCAGAGCGTTTCTCAATTGAAAACTTTAAAGTTAGTCTATAAAGCAAATTTTTTCCCCGCGATTAACTGAAGAGGCCGCGGTGTAGTGTAATTTGATATGAAAAACTCTAAAGGAAAGTTGGATTTCGATTTTAATTTTTATCAACTAATGTTCGTGTAATATAAGTATTGATATATCGATACCGTTTGTTTATTTTAAAAGTAATATTTGAGGAGATCAACGTGATAGTAAGTGGCCGTTGTCCACGGACATTTGCATCTGTTACTCCAGATGTGGTGTTTCCCTAAGGACTGTTGAACTTAAAAGTGAAAACGGAAGATTCAGATGGGATTTGGATAAGAGTAAAGGAAATGCCTTTCGTATTTCGTAGTTTCCGTTACTCTAATGAACAACGAAGCTACAAACTAAAAAACCAAATGTTGTGATGGATATTTGAAGCCAATCTTTTGGAAGATAGTACCGCCACAATCAGGCAAATTCAAACGAGTCACAATTGGCTACATATATTATACCTTCTACAACATACGGACTACTGATAAAAATTGAATAGTTTTTTTTTCCAATGCAAAAGTATACTATGTTTGAACTGGCACTCAATAAATAGGAATTTTAAGGGCGGATTTTTTTCAAATGAATTCGGGTGCTTTTTAAACATTTCTATTATTTTTTTAGTTTATAAAATGGAATGTATATAGAATACTATATCTAAAATTAGAGCAAAAATAATAAATTTAATGGCATTATTTCATTTAGATCCAAAATTTATAACATACACTGGTAGTGTAAAAGATTGGTTCAAAATATACTGGTTTTGTTATAAGTCTTTGAAATCTGAAGCTGCCATGATATCAATTAAAATTAAACAAGCAGTTCGCTTTTATTTCATTGAGAATCTTTAATCACTCTCAACTTATCTGAATGAGTTTTAATTCAGTGCTTATAAAAATATATCACGCTTACTATGATTAATTTTCTATTTTATGTTTAGAAAAATATTTCTTTTTTTCATCTATTTTATTGTTCGAAATATATGTACGTTATTTTAATGAAATAGATTTAATTCCTTAATAATTTTTGATAAGGTACTTCTATTCATTGCTATCAATTACTAAAATGCACTGGGGATATCATGTTATCTGCCTGGAATGTTGATTGCTTGATGCGATTTAGGTTTAAATTAACAGTTTTGTATATGTATAAAACTAATGTAGTAAAATAAATTAGTGTTAAATGTTTTAATCTCAAAGGAAGCTGCAAAACATATAATTTTATATTGGCTTGTATTTGTCTTGATTCCATTTGCCTAGATAGAAGACGTGTTAAATTTTGATTGCCAAAAAAGCACGTGCTGTTATCTAAAATTTCTTTCTATCTTAGTGTAAAAACTTCATTTCGTTTTAGTGCTTCAGCTGGTGAAATCGTTGTCTCACATATATATTTGCTTTTCTCATTTAGAATATAGTATGTATATCAGATATTTATTAACTTGTATATTACATTAATATTACTACTTATTTTTTCTTATCTCTAAGTTAGGTTAATAAAGTACCGAAAGTTTTAAATATCTTTGAGGTAATCGGATACAAAAATACCGGGGATTTATCTTTTAAAAAATAGCCTCAGGAAGCGAATTAAATATAAATATTTTCTTTCAGATTTAAAAAATTCTTCGCTATTGTGCTCTGTAACAGAGATTAAATATGTGAACTAAGTATTTAAGCTAAGTTTGTACAGCATACAATTAAACGTCCGACAACAGTTTATTTTAAATTCAAATTCTGTCAACATTTCACACTCTCCATGTCCAAATGCCTTAAATTCATTTCAAAATCAATTGTTCGATTTTCGTCATTCATGTTAACAAAAGCCCGTCCAACGCCGAGGGCTGTACAAACAGAAAGGTGTACGCTCAGCTTACTTTTAATGCTTACGAAAATTTTGTATTTAAATTCGTCTTAAACTTAGATTGCTCAACTTGTTCCTCCTCATTACTAGCTTTTTTCAACAATGATTCTGAATATTATTATATTGTTATTCATGTGTGGGTTTGATTAGGCTTTCTTTTGTTTTAAAATATTTTACATTTCAACATACATTCGCTAACAACACAACGGTCACCACTTTACATATTACATTCAATATCAAGAGATATTTGAATATAGCTAACGAATTGAATGTAACCTAAATTTATAACATTGTTTACATAGATATTGTTGAAATAGCAGTAATAAAAATATGTTTTGTATAGTTATTTTTTCTGAACAACATCGTTCAATTATCTGGAAGTTCTTCGACCAGCTGCCACGTAATCAGTTTGTTAGCGTCGTTTCCTGTCTTTGTGTCCATGGTTTACCAAAAACGGTACTTCAACATTAACTACTACGTACGCCAGTTACAAATAATGTATTGTATTCTTTTCGGAGTATTGAACTGTTTGCAATATAACTATATATCGAAATTATTGTACAATTATAGTGTATAAGAATGCAGACTTAAGAAAATAATTAGCTCATATAGTTGGAACTATTTAAAAGACTACATGCTTTGCACTAAGATACGTCATATTATTTTAATATCTATCCAAATTATACTTATTAATTTAAACTTAAACCCTAATAAATACTAATGGTTTGACTGTTACGAAATATTTATTGTCATCAAATTTTTAATAACACTTCTAAAATTAGAACGTAAATAACATGTCTTTGTCGTTTATTGTTGTAAATAAGTTAAGCAATGTTAATTATGATAAAACGTGTTTTACATCAATGTATTTGTAACCAAGATTGCGACACATTTTATAATACATGTATTAATCATGCGACTTATTAGAAATCAAAACCGATCGTACTTTGATGATAATGCACAAGTAAAAAAAAAACACAAAACGAGATAAAAAAAGGGTGTAAAAGTAAGAAACTTGGTTCAGGAATCGAATGTCAGGTAAACGTTTGCATGTGAATGGTGATTTTAGACTATCTGAAAAGCGATTGTTATCGCCGCCTGAGTCGTTCATTGGAATCGTTTACTTTTTTTTTCGCTCCGTGAAACGATCAGAAATGTTTCCCTTTCGTGTTTAAAAATAAATTTGGCGATTCGAAGGCCATATATTTTCGGTTGGTTTGTTTTGATTTAGTTATCATATGTTTGTTTTAAATACATCTGTATTATGTTGTCACGTTATGTGAATTATGTTTGTCTCTAACGTGTTTTTTATTTCCAGGGCAGTGACAGATCCGCGCGATGGCCGCCGCGTGGCTCTCAAGAAGTTGCCGAACGTGTTCCAGTCGCTCGTATCATCCAAACGCGTCTTCCGTGAGCTTAAAATGCTCTGCTTCTTCAAACATGAAAATGTAAATATACATATATATTACAAAATTTATAATAAAACAAATATTTTGCCGTGTTAATCCTATCTAAGCCGCACGTTGAGCCCTTCATTATAAATTTTAATTATCGAAGTATACTTTAACCTGTTCACTGTCACGAAATAATTACAATGCGGTGTGCGATAGTAATTTATTCATTTTCACTGTATGTATCGATCGGGGGTATTGTTTGCGTTTTGCATTTGTCGCAAGTCGAATGTTTTAACTGTGAAGAATTTCATCAACAGTTATCAGAGCAAAATACCAATCGACATACAAACACACCAATCGTCAGTTATTGTTCGGATTAAATTCTTATAGAACGAATATACCTCGATTGTATCTCATAGCTAATTTCTTTTAAAATGTTCCATAAAAGTTTAACATTCATAGTTTTTTTATTCAATACCTTAGTATTTTATATTCATTCGTGAAACATCCTTATAAGTTATTGTATAAAAAAGCTATGTTCGTGCAAATTGCATACTTGATAATGTTTAATTGCAGGTATTATCGGCGTTAGACATACTCCAGCCGCCAAGCCTCGACTTCTTCCAAGAAATGTATCCTTTTCACAAAATACATTGATTAATTTCAAAGAAATATAATTATTGCCTTGTAGTTTTTATTTTGGGTGGCATTTGAATACGGTTTTAAGTAGAAACTTGTGAAGAGGAATAAATTGTTCTTATACGATCTTATTTTATGTTTCGGGCCATTCTCTAATGAGCGTAGGAGTATTGTACCAACTATATATTGCCAAAGATAGGTGCTAATGACCGCCTTCCAAGGGCACGATATAAGCATCTCGAGGACGATAGCCCTTCTTTGTCCTTCCTTCTGATGTACATTGTTATTTGAAATAATGATATTTGTATTATATACTGAATGAAATAAATAGTACGCAATCGAATGTCCTTAATCCGAAGCGTAACAATTTTCTATAGAGCATTAAACTGAATAGGTCAAGGTCGGTTTGGAATGTTTTTCCGATAATATGTTATATCAATGGTATTAAAATATCTCGGTGTGAATGACACGATGAATGAAGGACAAAGAATGAGAAATTTCGGTCCGTCCGGGGGCTAACCCCCTGCCCGCCGGCCCTTTCTCATCCTGAATACTAAAACCAAGGGAGGTGGGAATTTGATGTTCTTTTACTTATTGCGAGTTTATTCAGAACGGTTTTAAACATGTACCGGTTATATATTTGGTTAATGTTTTATATGCGGCGGTACGTTACGACTGTGGATAGATGGATTTATATAGTTGGATTGACTCATAACTACTTAAAGGATTCGTGTGAACTTTAAAAACTGCATTTCAAATATGTACATAGCAGTATTGTTCGCTATATATTTACGCCATACGCTGTTTTCTATTGAAACAGCTTAGTAACTTTTTGTATAGCGTGTTTTAAAGAAGCGATCAACTGTGAACAAAATTTAAATTCTTCAATAGTAATTTAGTCACAAGTTAAAATGATGACAAAATAATTCTACTCAAAGATCATTGACAGTGATAACATTTTTAAAACGAAATATCACTAAAGATCTTAAGATTGTAAAAGTCATAAATAGTAAGGGCCGCAGTATCGTTTTAGTGTCACAGTTTATTATCATTATATGTATAAAGCTGAAGGATGACATTATATTGCAATGTTTTTAATTACACACAAATTGATTTAAACGTATTCCACTATATTTATCAAAGTTAAGGTACTATGAGGATGGGAATAGGAAATTTACACCTTAAATCACTATGCAGATTTTATAAAACGCTGTAAATAATATCCTATAAAATAATGTTTATTTTTTACTATGTAATAAAAGAGGCGTCGAGCGAAACGAAAAGCCATTAATAGCTATTTAATAGGTAGTGGGTATAATGAAGCAATAAATTTAAATTCCTTTATACTGTACTCTGTAAGAGAAAACATTCGAAAAGACAATTTTCCGCATCGGAAATTTTAATAAAGGAACATCATCACGGGGAATAAATCAAGTTTTTCGTTCTGTTGTCCCACGGGAGTTAGCTTGTCTAGGGAAAGTAAGGAATGCAAGGAAAAAACAGACTGAAACATGGTGACAGGATCAGGTGTGCACGAAGTGAACGTTACAATTGATAATAATATTAAAATTGTTTTATTGTTATACGAAAGCATTTTCGTAATTATTTGATTAACATTGAAGCTATGTGGAGGTAATACATAAAAATAATCTTCACGCTCAATTCTAGCCTGCAATCTCCGTCTCGATGTGATAGTTAAATTTACCGACTCGTAAGGCCATTACAGCTTGATTCGTAAAGCAAATGGAATGCTATATTCCTGAGTTCTGCAGATTCGAATCCTGATCCTGTCGAAGTATTTTTTATTGTTTATCTTCTAACATAAATATTTGCCTCAATATAAACATCTTAAAATTTCCGTTAATTGTAACAAGGATAAAACATTAGTGATTCAACTTTATTTACGTTGGTTCTTTGTTTAAAGCTTTCCGAGTAAGGAATGACAGAAATAGATGAAATGCGTTGCTGCTCCATGTTTAGAGATAATGACGGATCAAAGATATGCTACTGAATATTATTTTATCGATATCAATATAACTTATTTGAACAAGTTTCCTATATACTGACCGTGGAAACTATAAGGAAGTTTTGTTTCAATTTCAACTAACTTCACAACCAAAGACTATTCAATGAATATAATAATAACTTTATGTAATATCTTAATCGTTTTCACGACCTTCGGTCCCATTAAAATATAAGGTGACTTAAAAGAAATCCACCCTTTTGAAATGAAATGTCTTTTCTCATCAATCCGGTCGTTTGAAAACAAAGACGTCGAATTGGCAGCTGGGAGGCACGGCTGAGCGATGATTGCACTAAGTACTTCTGACTTTACGACGCTTTTGTTGAAAAATTCCATTATTAGGGTTCAGCGGGCATTCTCTAGCCCGCATTCGGACCTTACAGACCTATTGTTTACTTCCATCCTTTATATATATTACAGATAATAGAAAGCTGTAAAGTATATAAAGAGATCGTAAAAGAGATACCGCGTTCGGAACATCGGGTTCTGCGCGGCCTAATGCTCCTTTGTGTAATAAATATGTTTCTTTAATAGTGTTCCAGCTTCGGAATATTTTGTATATATAGCTATATACATATTATTAAAAAAATACGAGACAAGACATTGTATAGAAGTCGATAAACTTCTAAAGCAAATGGGGTGACCATTCGTATATAGTATCCATTTGATCGTGCGTGTGCTACCTAATTAGCGCCGGTTGCCCTGATTTAACCTCGCCACGACACTGCAATTCGTGTTTGTTCTATTTTGTATTTTAAATGCGTGGGCGTCAAATTCAATGAAATGAAACTCCTCTTGGTCTTGATATTGAAACTGATTCTTGAACATTGTTATGAGGGTCAAGGTAATATTTCTTATTATTAAAATTTTCTTATATTCATAACAGAATAAGATGAAATAAGTCAATGAGCTGTCTATAAAAGAGAAACTAGAAGTTGGAATTATATCATATTTGTACATTATTTCTTCGGTATTTTTTATAGAATCTTCTTACTATTTATTTTAAGACATTATAATTTGAATTCTTCTACGTCATTAAAATTCCAATTATCCTATAATTTTATGAATATATTTGTCTTATTTCCGTGCTGAATGCAAAGTTTATTTTAATTTAGTAGCTTGACAGCAAATTTATCAACGAATTCTGGACATTTCTGGCACGTGGCTAAAAAGCATAGAAACAAAGATGCATTGTCTTTGTTTTCGCAATAATATTGTTCATATTTCGGCATACTAATTTATTACGTTTCGGAGCTGAATTCAAAATTCGACGTCAACAAAGGTGAAACAGTTTCGTCGTAAAATATCACCCAATATTATTTTAAGACATTGACTCTCATCTTCCGCGTTTATGTACGATATGAATCATTTTTCTTTGTTCCATACGATACTTGTTAAAAGTTATCATTGACATGACAAACGTCCGCGCTTGTGTACAATTCTTCATGTTTGATAACATTTTATATCGTGAAATTTTAATATTAAAGAATTAAATTCATACTATAGTTCTATACAATAAAATGTAAAAAACAAGATAAGTATGGATATACCTGTCTGATATCTCAATGTATTGTACGGTAGTTTATTACGCTTAGTATAATTATCCCCGGTAATTGATTTAAAAGTACTCAGGATATAATTTTGGATGGTTCCTAACAAGATTCTTTTGAACTTTTCTCACTGTCGCTGAAATCAGTTGTTTATACTTTATAGTATAAATAATCAACAATAGATAAAAGCGATGTTTTGTAATTACTATCCCCATTTACGTATCCCCCGCAGGACTTGAGGCAGGTTTAATTACTAACTGAGCCTATGGGCACAGATTTGGGGGACCTGCGAGTGAAATATTAGTCTGCGAGCCTTTTCACAGTACGGACAACTTTTATATGAGTGTATATATGGGCAGATGTTCGCTAAACGATAGCGATTCTGTATTCTGATTCTTTAGTTCTCTCATTTAGTTAAGCATAATAGACGGTAGATTTATGTTTTATTTAATTTGTATTTGCTCCGTCAGTGATGTGCATAGCAAAGAAATGATTGCTTATGAGACATACAATGTTTGACAGAAGTTTACAAAATTAATACACATATCAAATCAAAACTCTCAAAACAAGCAAAGAAATTTACCTTATACTAATTTTTACTTCGATTTGTAAATCTTAACAAAATCATTATGTTCCCGTGTATGGTATCGATCGAAGAAATATAATATGTAAATAATTAACATATGTTTGTATTATACTACCGTGTTTTCAATCACTTCATATAGCATAATCGTTGCTATTAAAATCAAATCATTATTAATTACTCTTACTAATTCCACCGTTTGATTCCTTAGTTTTCTATTCACTGCTGACAATATTTTGAGATAATAGACTTAAATAATAACTTTCTAATAACTTAAAACTCATCCTCAAATTATGCAGTTGTTAGAATTCTAACTTGCACGAATTTAATTTTGGTGGAAGCACTTATTCATTGTAGAAGACACAAGCTTTATAATGTAGGTTGAAACAAAGTATTTACTAATTAGCGACTGTTAGTCCGTTATGTAAATATTCAAAGTTTATATAAATTCAATTAAAAATTACAAAGAAAACGCGTGAACCCAATAATATATGTACATGAATACATTGAACATTACATAGATAGTACGTAAATATATATTACAGTATATAGAGTAGAAATAGTGGAACCCCAAAAGAAAATATGTGAAAAGATGCGTTGCTTTATGACGAATGTTAAAGAGCACGTAGCCGCGTAGTGACGCATACAAGAAACATGAATTCTTTGAACTAAGTTGTAACTATTTTTTAAACGCATACCGCAGAGATGCTGTGTTACATACGGGTTACGTCCATCATAACTCATGGAAGGTTTAAGATGATATAAAAATAATTTATTCATTTAAATTAAAACTAGATTTATGAGATATCATAAACAATCTATAAGTATATTTAAATA